AGAACATATACGGCACGCATAGATGCGATAAATCACCTAAATTATTGGGATCGTCTCAAATCCCTCCAAATGTACTCACTAGAAAGAAGACGAGAGAGATATCAAATAATATACACCTGGAAGATACTGGAGGGCCAAGTACCAAATCTACACAGTAAAATAACGTACTGGAGTGAACGATATGGAAGAAAATGCAGAATAGAACCAGTGAAGAGCAGGGGTGCCATAGGCACAATCAGAGAACACTATAAACATCAGAGGTCTGCGGTTGTTCAACACCCTCCCAGCGAGCATAAGAAATATTGCCGGAACAACCGTGGACACCTTCAAGAGGAAACTAGATTTATTCCTCTAAGGAGTGCCGGACCAACCGGGCTGTGGTGGTTATGTGGGCCTGCGGGCCGCTCCAAGCAACAGCCTAGTGGACCAAACTCAAGTCAAGCTTGGCCTCGGGCCGGGCTTGGGGAGTAGAAGAACTCCCAGAACCATCAACCAGGTATCAACCAGGTATATAGATTATACTTTGGGATCCAGATTTCACTATCCATGTGGTCTTTTGTGTGGGTTTCTGTAAATGCACCAAATATTGAATTAGATTCTATTAGAAGGCCATTTATGAACTTAACTTTATTTCTTGATTTTGATTTTAGGCCTTGTATGTTTGTAAATATGAATGATTTCCCATATTGTGTGTCACTTCTGGTGGGCTTTGGTAGTTCTCCCCCTCTCCACCCAGGTCCAGGGTGTGTTGTTTTGGTAGTGGTTCGTCCAGTTTTGATAGTAGTGCAGGTGTTGTGTGGTGTAGTACCTGTGTGCTTGTTGATTTGTATTCCAGTCTTGTAGGTATCTCCCTCCCCTTCTGTAATCCTGCAGTGGTGCTCTCTGCCTGTTCCTCTCATGTTCTACACTGTTTCTGCCTTCCTCTAAAAAGTTTCCAGTAGTATCATATTGATCTTCCCGTCTATAATGCTGTGTACCTCTCACGTGGAATTCCAGGCACTAAAGATTGTAACATTTTTTGTCCCCAATTGAAAATTTACATAGTTAAGGGTGGAAGTAGTTAAGGGTGGAAGTACAGTACAACCTCGATTCAACGTACTGTCTCCACTCGATTATCCGGACTATATGGGAAGGACCCCCAGCCGAATATTCATGAGTTCCTGATAATGGTATTTTTTCACCTCTGAGTCCAAAAGTAACCATTTCCAACAATTTTTATACTACAAACAATTTAAATTGCCTTGCCACATATAATTATTTAATATTCAACTAGAAACCTCAACTTACCTTGTTGGTGTTCATCTTCTTGATTGATACCACACATCTTTAAGTTAAGAATTCTTAACAATTTACGTAACCTATACTAAACACAACACTAAAATTAACACTTAAAATTACTGTACAGTTCATTAAGCAAAGTTAGTTTTGACTGCCAGCTGCTGAAGCCTCACTGGTTGAAGGCATTTGGGTTGCCTGTGAGGCCTCACTTGCTGAAGGCGCTTGCTTGCGCCTCACTTGTTGAAGGCGTTTGGCTTGCCTGTGAAGCCTCACTTGTTGAAGGCACTTGGCTTGCCTGTGAAGCCTCACTTGTTGAAGGCACTTGGCTTGCCTGTGAAGCCTCACTTGTTGAAGGCACTTGGCTTGCCTGTGAAGCCTCACTTGTTGAAGGCACTTGGCTTGCCTGTGAAGCCTCACTTGTTGAAGGCACTTGGCTTGCCTGTGAAGCCTCACTTGTTGAAGGCACTTGGCTTGCCTGTGAAGCCTCACTTGTTGAAGGCACTTGGCTTGCCTGTGAAGCCTCACTTGTTGAAGGCACTTGGCTTGCCTGTGAAGCCTCACTTGTTGAAGGCACTTGGCTTGCCTGTGAAGCCTCACTTGTTGAAGGCACTTGGCTTGCCTGTGAAGCCTCACTTGTTGAAGGCACTTGGCTTGCCTGTGAAGCCTCACTTGTTGAAGGCACTTGGCTTGCCTGTGAAGCCTCACTTGTTGAAGGCACTTGGCTTGCCTGTGAAGCCTCACTTGTTGAAGGCACTTGGCTTGCCTGTGAAGCCTCACTTGTTGAAGGCACTTGGCTTGCCTGTGAAGCCTCACTTGTTGAAGGCACTTGGCTTGCCTGTGAAGCCTCACTTGTTGAAGGCACTTGGCTTGCCTGTGAAGCCTCACTTGTTGAAGGCACTTGGCTTGCCTGTGAAGCCTCACTTGTTGAAGGCACTTGGCTTGCCTGTGAAGCCTCACTTGTTGAAGGCACTTGGCTTGCCTGTGAAGCCTCACTTGTTGAAGGCACTTGGCTTGCCTGTGAAGCCTCACTTGTTGAAGGCACTTGGCTTGCCTGTGAAGCCTCACTTGTTGAAGGCACTTGGCTTGCCTGTGAAGCCTCACTTGTTGAAGGCACTTGGCTTGCCTGTGAAGCCTCACTTGTTGAAGGCACTTGGCTTGCCTGTGAAGCCTCACTTGTTGAAGGCACTTGGCTTGCCTGTGAAGCCTCACTTGTTGAAGGCACTTGGCTTGCCTGTGAAGCCTCACTTGTTGAAGGCACTTGGCTTGCCTGTGAAGCCTCACTTGTTGAAGGCACTTGGCTTGCCTGTGAAGCCTCACTTGTTGAAGGCACTTGGCTTGCCTGTGAAGCCTCACTTGTTGAAGGCACTTGGCTTGCCTGTGAAGCCTCACTTGTTGAAGGCACTTGGCTTGCCTGTGAAGCCTCACTTGTTGAAGGCACTTGGCTTGCCTGTGAAGCCTCACTTGTTGAAGGCACTTGGCTTGCCTGTGAAGCCTCACTTGTTGAAGGCACTTGGCTTGCCTGTGAAGCCTCACTTGTTGAAGGCACTTGGCTTGCCTGTGAAGCCTCACTTGTTGAAGGCACTTGGCTTGCCTGTGAAGCCTCACTTGTTGAAGGCACTTGGCTTGCCTGTGAAGCCTCACTTGTTGAAGGCACTTGGCTTGCCTGTGAAGCCTCACTTGTTGAAGGCACTTGGCTTGCCTGTGAAGCCTCACTTGTTGAAGGCACTTGGCTTGCCTGTGAAGCCTCACTTGTTGAAGGCACTTGGCTTGCCTGTGAAGCCTCACTTGTTGAAGGCACTTGGCTTGCCTGTGAAGCCTCACTTGTTGAAGGCACTTGGCTTGCCTGTGAAGCCTCACTTGTTGAAGGCACTTGGCTTGCCTGTGAAGCCTCACTTGTTGAAGGCACTTGGCTTGCCTGTGAAGCCTCACTTGTTGAAGGCACTTGGCTTGCCTGTGAAGCCTCACTTGTTGAAGGCACTTGGCTTGCCTGTGAAGCCTCACTTGTTGAAGGCACTTGGCTTGCCTGTGAAGCCTCACTTGTTGAAGGCACTTGGCTTGCCTGTGAAGCCTCACTGGTTGAGGTGTATAACACGTAACTTTTCTTTAATTGTTAGAACAACCTTCTTTCTCTTAACACCTCCAGAATAATTGATGCTGCTACCAGACATAGTCTTGGCCAAAAATGTTCAAAGTTACTATGAAAATAAACTTATTTAAAAAAATATTTCACTAATGGCGCAGCACTGTGGTATAACAAGAGGGACGGGAGCACATGGGTTGACCAGTGTTGGACGGGTCCACTTGGGGCAGCTATAGCATGTTACATAGGCCACCAAGAGGAAAAACTCCCAATATTTTTGAAGGAAACTTCATCCTGTGTACATTGTTTTTAGGAAACTTGTATATTTTTTATTACATAATTACTAGTATTTCTTTTGTTTCTGGCTATGATGAATTGTTCTAAAATTAATGGTAATTCCTGTACCCAGGTGGTCCCTCCCGACACCACCCACCCCCTCCTCCACCATGCGCTTCGAGCCACAGCCAGACAGTACGGCCCACCCCATGGCTTTCACATCCAGACAATTCAATGCTTATCCTGCTGATTGTACGGATAGTGTAACATCGGCAGCAAGTTAACCGGCTCCGATTTTTTATCCGGCTAAACCAGCTTTTATTCGGCTCCCACGGACATTTTGGCCAGATATTGAGATAACTTTATCCGGTCACGATTTTGGCCATATAAGGACATCTTCCGGATGTTCGAATCCCGGATAATCGAGTGTCTACAGTATTTGTAATATTTTATGTATACCGCATATTTGTAATATAAAATATTTTGTTCATTTGTTCAAACTTTATGGGGAGGTACTTAGCGTATGGTAGAAAAGATGGTCACAGTGTGATGTACAGTTGACCATTGTTATCCCAGGATGGATGCCACCAGTTTCCAGACACTTGATTTATTACACTGATTTATCATTTGCTCGTATTATTACAAGGAATTTTCTGCTTAATTTCCGGCTTGCAATGGTATTCACTCACTATTACCAATTCCTAGATCCACATTTCCATATTAAACTATATATTGTTCATATACTATCACGGAGGGACGTGCCATACCCTGGGTAGGCTTCGTGGCTGTGGTGTAAACACAGCCTAGCGTGATGCCGCCTCTTGCTGCTATTCTATATTTCTAATATTCTATGCACTAGTCTCCTACTCTTCAACTTATATGTGTTGTGTTACCCGTTCCACTTCACTGTTCCACATATCACTGTTCACTATAATTCATATATATCGACTAAACGCATTTACACAAGAGCCTTGTGGCACTGGCTCCCACGTGGTCCCACATTTGTTCTCTAACTCAAGATTCCATTGTTAATGACTATTCAACTTTCCAATGGGTCACTATGCATTTTGTGATGACTGATCAGTAATCCATGGCTGTAAGTTTAAAAAAATCCTGGTATATTTCAAGATTTTAACGGAGCGCGCCAGTTAAATTATTCCAGTTTTACTTGTAATTTATTTGATTTGTATAGGATCACTGCCCCCTAGAACCCAAAGAAGGTTGGGAACTTTGAAGGCTTCCTTGGACCCTTAATGAACACAAGAACCCATAAGGCTTCCCTGTACCCATCATAAGGAGGACCTGGTAGGCTCTGTTGCTCCTACCATATGGTACAATGTTCTGAAGTAATGTATTTCTCCAACAGGTGTTAAAAAATGGTTACTTACTCATGTGCAGCCCTGTCAACATTGCTCTTATAGAGAAGGAGGTTGGGCACATCTCTGGAGCAGATATCAAGGCTTTAGTTACATTATCACCTCGCATCCTCTCCATCCCATACCATCAGCTCCTACAACTGGGCCACATCCTTACCAATGTCGGAGTCACTCCAGTAAGATTTTGTACTAGTTTCTTTCGACTATATTTGTGCATTACAGTTCTTATAATCCCATGCTATTCTCTGAATGACAGTATAGTGTAACCTCAACTCGGTGAACTATACGGGGTGATAATTCCAAGGATCAACATCCCCAGGGCCTGGGATCAACCTCGATTCATTGGATTGGAAGATTCATTATAAACAAAGGTGCCTTCAGGATGCATTTCTGGGGGGAGCCCCGTCGGCTCCCCGGAGCTTTCCCAGCCAAGACCATAGTGGCCACTAGTACACAACATGACATGTCATGCAGATGATGCCATCTTCCTCGCCAAAATGGCTTCTCCCAACGTACTCCTTTTGCTGTTATTACACTACATACACACGTTATATATAAGTATCCACACTTGTGTTCACCATAGCGAACCATTAAGCTGGTCTCGGTGAGTCCAGACAGTAAAAGATGGTCACACAGTCACCAGACAACGCTATCTCCCTCCCCACCAAGATTACTGCTCCCACTGCAATGCTAATTATCACCACAATCCTGCTATTATCAGAAACCTGGTCATTTTTATCAGTCAGGGATCTTCTGTAATACTATCATCGCTAAATAATAGCATGTACATATATATTTTGACTTTTAGGCGATGTGTGTGGTCACAAGCTGAACAACGGTGCTGTGAGCTCATGCTGCGCGTGCCAGCCTTGGTGGCCCACTCAGTACCGAGGCGCTCTCACCCAGGAATGTTACCCACGTTTTTTTTTCTAGGTGGAGTCTTAACTATTGATCGCGGCTGGACTATAGCTGCCCCTATCCTTCGCGGGGTATTTAAAATCATGCACTAGAGCCTCAATCATCTATGCAGGTATATGTATTGTGCAGTTTCGGTAAAGTTACTCCCATCGTCTATGTATGTATTGCACGGTCTAAGAGTTAAAGAACACAATAAAGTATTCGTCACAACTGCAAGAAAAATAATAGGTTGGATAACAAGAATCTTTCTCACTAGAGATGCTCTACCGATAATACTTTTCAAGACGCTAGTACTCTATAGAGTGAAATACTGTTGCATAATGACAGCTCCTTTCAAAGCTGGGAAATTGCTGACCTGGAGAGCATGCAGAGATCCTTTACTGCTAGAATCCACTCTGTAAAATATTTAAACTACTGGCACCAACTAAAATGCCTAAATCTGTTTTCTCTTGAGCGCAGGCAGGAGAGATACGTAATAATTTACACATGGAATAGAGTAGAGGGGCTGGTCCCAAACCTGCGCGCAGAAATACCACCACACGAGACCAGAAAGCATAGCAGGATGTGCAGAATACCCCCATTGAAGAACAGAGGTGTAATAGGTACTCAGAGAATTCTGTCAACATCAGAGGCTAGAGACTGTTCAACACGCTTCCACTACACAAAGGGTATAACTGGCTGATCCCTCACAATGTTCAAGAGAACTTGATAAGCACCTCCAAAGGATACCTGATCAACCAGGCTGTGACTCATATGTCAGGTTGCAAGCACCCGCATCCAACAGCCTGGTTTGCCAGTCCAGCAGCAAGGAGGCCTGATCAAAGTCTGGGCCGAGGGGACGCTAAGCCCCGAAAAAATCTCAAGGTAAAGTGGTACCAGAGCCAGTGTACCAGGGAGCTAGGTCTGGTAGTTGTGGTGCTGTCTGTGGTACCTGAGCCAGTGTACCAGGGAGCAAGGTCTGGTAGTTGTGGTGCTGTCTGTGGTACCTGAGCCAGTGTACCAGGGAGCAAGGTCTGGTAGTTGTGCTGCTGTCTGTGGTACCTGAGCCAGTGTACCAGGGAGCAAGGTCTGGTAGTTGTGGTGCTGTCTGTGGTACCTGAGCCAGTGTACCAGGGAGCTAGGTCTGGTAGTTGTGACTGTGGTACCTGAGCCAGTGTATCAATGAATTAGCAAGACATTTCATTACATTTAGTATTTGATTTATTTTGTTTTGCAGGCCTCGCTGATATCTGTGCCGCGAATATGTTCACTACATCCAGATACACTGCAGGAGCGACTTTCATTACTTCAAAAGGTACCAGAGTTTGCTGCCTTGTCCTATCATCCGCGATTCTTGCATCTGCTAGTACACTTCAACAAGGCCTCATCTCGTCTGGACTTCCTACAACAGATGAAGAATACAAATGTTTTTCCTACCCTTAACACATTGTGTGGCACTAGTAAAATGTTCCATAGGTATGTGGCAGTAGGAGACCACAGATATAACAAGCGAGAAGTCATCAACTGTCTGGCAAAACAAATGAATGAAACATCAAGTACAATTAGAGAAGCTCTGCACTTCCAGAGCTGGAGCCAGGGGCAGACAACAATTGTAAGTGTAAGGAAGAACCTTTTAAAGCTAAGAAAAGAAGGCTTCACTAAAGAACAACTGCTAGCAGCGCTAGATGTTGTATTATACCCACCCGAGTTGCTCAGTGACCAGCTTGCTCAGCTGCCACTCAGAGCTCAGGCTCAGCCATTCACAACCCTCAAATCAAAGCCACATGCTTTGCAGCTCCTCTTGTATTTTATGAACAAAAACATGTCATGTCCACTTTCATAGTTGGCAAAAATCTGCACATCTGGTAATTTGTGTCAGATGCAGACTTATTAAATTTTGAATTGAAACATTGATAATGACTGACATATGTTGTAATAGGCAATAAAAGTATAGTTATTAACCACTTTGCTTTTAGTTTCCATTTACCATAAAAATAATTCCTCGATCCAAGCTCATCACGTGTATGTGTCTTCCACCGTTAGGGTGTGGGGGTAGGTGGATAGCAGAACTATTCAGTTAATTTCAATTTCAATTCAGTTGTGGCTTGTGTTATGTTTGTTTTTGCAGTTTCTCAGATATTTAGATTAGGCTTGTGTGTAATGGGGCTATGACCAAATGGCTGTACAATATTATCTATTAATCAGTTTGTGCTTTTAGCCATGGTGACATGTTCAAATTTAACCACTTGGGTCTTGCAGCTGTAGTACGGTAGTGCACTAGCAGTGGTTCTAAGGCAATTATGACTACATTTCTGAGTGACACTAGTGCCAAGTGAAGCATGGGGTACCTAGTCACTTCTTCACACGTTGCTGTTGGTGATGAAGTGTTTATTATTGAATTTTTTGCTTCACGACTTATTTACGATGGAGGACAAGTATGGGGCCCACTACTGCCCACAGGATGGGTATGGGGTACAGTACTGCCCACAGGATGGGTATGGGGTACAGTACTGCCCACAGGACGAGTATGGGGTACAGTACTGCCCACAGGACGAGTATGGAGTCCACTACCACCCACATCTGTGCAGTAGCAGACCCCATACCAATCCTGTGGATGGTAGTGAACCCCATACCCATACAGTGGACAGAAGTGATCCCCTTACCCATCCTGTGGGCAGTTGTGGACCCCATAGACATTCCATGTCACAGCATTTTTTGTCGACATTCCTGCAATCCGTTCTAAGGTTTTTAAAGCCTACACTATTGTATATAATGTTTAGCAAAAGCATTATATGTAATAACTTATAGTGTGCTTATTATAATTTACTGAGACGCCCCAAGATTTCTCCCAAGTGCTAACCTTTAACAGGATGCACTGTAGAATAGTAGTTTAAATCATGGGTTGAAACATTAGTCTACACAGAATGGAGACTTGCCATAATTTTTGTTTTAACTTTTCAGCAAAGTAAACTATTTTAGTAAAAGAGCATTCATCCGTCAACAGCCATCATCTTTGCTGACTGCTTCACTACAATCTTAATCAAGCCTTAAAATCATCCAAAATACTAAACTAAGTCATAAGTGGTAGCTATGTATACCATAGGTGAACTATAGTTCTTTATAATTATTATTATTTAAAATTGCCTCAAGTCGACTAAATTCTCAGAATACTGCTGTTCAAAGGCAATTGGAGATGTAATCAATTCCCTCCTTAGAAGCAAATGATTTAGCCAAATTTGGGGCACTGCACGATCCCACAAGGTCTCCGTGCCATCCTCTGCTCGGTCCCACAAGGTCGAATTACTGACCATTCCCAGGATGCACGAACTATATAATAAATGGATTCTTTTGGCACTTAATATTTTTTTCATATACAGTCTTTATTTACGATGTAAATAATACCCATACGGTATTGGATAAATAATACCCAATACCCATCGGCTGTTTGAGGGTGGGGTGCCGAGTACATGTGGTGGTAGTACTGTATTGAACCCAATACCCCATCCTGTGGGTGTAATGATCCCTATTCCCATCCTGTGGAGTGTTTCTGAACCACAATCATCCTGTGAAGGGTATTTGTTTCCATACCTAGTAGTACAGTCGGATTCGTTCTCTATATACAATCTAGAATTCCGGGTTTTAATTTACCGAGAATTACTAAGATTTCTCAAATAGCCTTCAATGGGATGTAGCTGATTGCGACATTGGAAGAGGATGGAAAGTGGTATGCAAATCTCACCAAAAGTGGCAATGGAAAATTACAATGGATCAAATAGACTATTCTGCTGTCCATGGCGATAGGACGGGTACTATGGGATGTTCACAGTTTCCCTGTGGTAGATTTACAGTATTGGCCATCACCAGGCACCAACCCTTCCTCACATACTACAATGCCCGTCCCATCGCTGAGGACAGCAGAATAGTCCGTTTGCTGAAATTTTTAAACTGCAGTACTTAATAACTATACGCCATCTTTCTCTCCACAACCGACCTCTAATCAAAATTCAACAGTTATTGCTCCGAAGCATCTCCTGGCGCTTCACCGCAAGTTGTGTAGACACTAAGCATTGAGAGACCTCCTGGCTAAGGTATTAAAGATTATGAGCCATTTTAAATGTTAATATTTTACAACTTCACCATTCAGGAAACCAGGCCATTTACTGGCAAAAATATATATCAAAGGCTGGTGTCACAGATGGCACTATGTGGTGACAGGCAATGTTGTGCCACTGATTATGCCGTAGATATAGATGTTCAGTACCGAGACTGACCTCATTGCCTTCCCTGTTGTCTGGCTGTGGTCACCAGACAACAGCAAAGGCAATGCATCTTTCATCCCCAGGCAACTTTCCCTGGGGATGGGAATGTTAACATCAGCACTATTATATTCCCGTATAATAAGATTTAAGAAATCTCGTGATAAGTTATCTTAAGTTTTATGAACCTCTTTCCAGCCATTGAAACCCTTATGAGTGACTTGCACTTAAATCTACCAAAGGCCCCGTATGTTATGATAATTCGAGCTGTATGACAACGTAAAGCAAGCCATACGGACTCCAGTGTGAGACCAGTTTGTATAGGACAAAGTGGACCCGGATGACCACCTCCAGGTCACCGTGCCTCGCTCGTTGCCGCTTGTCCACATGAACTGGATCGGATTGATTGATAAAGATTAAGCCACACAAGAGGTGGTACGGGCGAACATTTAAATATTATGTAGTTTTGGGAAAAGTCTTAGCCATTTAGTAAATCATATTAGTCCAGCAGGATGATCATATTCCATGTTTAATCCACATTTATTTCAATAATTTATAACCATGTTAAAGATTAATAACAAACTCACTTTATGAAGTATCTTATCCTTGTTTTGGATATTAACTAGCTGGAAGCCTCTGCCAAGACTAGCGGTAAGATTTGGCTTTATGGGCATCCTTTCCTCTTACAAAGTAAGTATGAATTTGGCCGTTTGCTCGTATGGCCGAAAATGGACGTACTGTAATTTGAAAGTGAGAAATTGAAAATAAATTTGGGATTTTTTTTTTTTTTAAAGTTAAGGGTCCTCGGGTATGTTAAGAGGACAGGAAGTCCTAAAATTTCAAAACCGTCACGAAAAACGTGAATTGAAAGTTTCCTCTCAACTTTTCGGAATAAGCCAGAGGACTCAAACAGAAAACGGGATAGTGCATCACTTAAGCGAGCCGATTTAATTTTAAATTACGTCAATTTTTTGGCCATAGCATGCATACGAGTGAAAAGCGACATTATTTTTAAGAGGATGGGTTGTGATACCAACTGTAGGTATTGGTATTCACTCATCATGAAAAATGGTACTTCTTACTAGTCCTGGTTTCACGTACTTTAAGCCTTGGAAAATTAAATATACTAAATTATTTTATTACTTATAATCTAAATTTACTAAAAAAGGGGACCAAATGAGAGCCATGCTGAGGAATCTACCTGCACCTAGGGTACGCCAAGCATATTACTCGTTTGATATGGGATTTAAGAGTAACAATCTAACGAATATTCGGGCTGAGGGACCAACTAAGGCTGGTGTTGTGGTTGAGGCAAGGGTAGAGGCTGAGGGGTGAATGGCTGCTGGGGTTTTGGGCCCAAAGGAAGCTAGGATATCAAATGCAGGAAGGGGTTGGAAGAACAAGGGTGCCGCTTGAAGAGGGAACTGTTAGACGTTACATGGAACAGAAAAGAAACTAGTGAAACCGGTTATAGTGTCTTGGGAGAACTGTAGTATGTCCCTGAAGGGAGGACTTCGGAAGGAAAAGGCTAGGGGTTGTAAATAACCCTGATGTTTGTAGAGAACTTTCGATACACGCAGAAATCACAATTGCGTGATGCATCACGCAGGGAGGGAGAACGGCCTATTGACATGGCTCGAGTGCATGGGGGGAGTTGTGTAAAACCCTGGTTTGTGCCTCGGAGAGGCTGCAGGATCCAGTAAGTTCAGTAGAACTTCAGTTTCAACTCCTTTTGACCATGTCGTAGCTCAGTCTATTAAGGCAGCGTCTGGGATGCTCTCGGACGCAGGTTCGAATCCTCGTCACGACCCTTGTGGATTTGTTCACAAGAACTTTCAAGTTCAGAGGCCGAAGCTAGCTCTTATTTTTTTCGGGGAGGGGGAGGGAGGGTGGACTGCCAAGAACAGTCATTTAGTTTACTTTTTTACACTAAAGTAAAATCTTGTTCTGTTAAATGTAGACAGTTTATAAGTGTTAACATTGTCCTCTTAAGTAACTAACATACAGTAAACGTACATTGCTATATTATACATAAGCTAACAACTTTTTTGAACTGCTAGAGTAATCCACTGTGGGGAAGTTTCCAGAGACAAGTATCTGAAGTTTACTTAAACTTAAGTTTACTTACGTTTGTCAAGCTTCTGACTGCCTTGTGTCAACCCCCGTGGAGCTGACAGTTGCACCACTACAAACCTGTAAAGTTAATTATCGTTCAAGTGCAATGGTCAGGAAGAATTATTCCGTTAACTTTTTATATTTGAAAACTTTATACAACTACACTGAAATCATGAATGATACAAATCACTGAAGTGCTACTCTTACTTTAAGGCAATTTTACGATTAATATGCGACATGAAGTTAAATAATTAGCGTTGATGGTAAAAAAAACAGACAAACACCATGGATGGACACCTTAAAAGATTAACCTATCATGGTTCATGATTTTTTAAAAATTTCACTAGTTACCCATTACTAGAATTACATCTAGCCTGCTGAATTTAAGTAGTCATGTTATTAAACATGTTTTAAATTTAGTTTTGGATTTGTAGTTTTAAAGTTTTACTAAAACTAGTAACCCCACTAACGCTTTCATACATTTCCAATATATACTTAACCGAATTTTTAAGGTTGAAGGCCGACTTAAAGGGCTAGCCTCTCGCATGATACAAGTAGGGTAGAGGAGCGTCACAGCCCAGATTGTCTGCT